TTATCTATCTATCTATCTATCTGTCTATCTGTCTATCTATCTGTCTATCTGTCAGTCTATCTATCTATCTATCTATCTATCTATCTATCTATCTATCTATCTATCTATCTATCTATCTATCTATCTATCTATCTATCTATCTATCTATCTATCTATCTATCTATCTATCTATCTATCTATCTATCTATCTATCTATCTATCTATCTATCTATCTATCTACCTACCTACCTACCTACCTACCTACCTACCTACCTACCTACCTACCTACCTACCTACCTACCTACCTACCTACCTACCTACCTACCTACCTACCTACCTACCTACCTACCTACCTACCTACCTACCTACCTACCTACCTACCTATCTATCTATCTATCTATCTATCTATCTATCTATCTATCTATCTATCTATCTATCTATCTATCTATCTATCTATCTATCTATCTATCTATCATCTTTTTTGTATTGTTTTACATTTATTTTATAATCAAAGTGATTTATTTAGCTTTTATTTAATGCATATTATCTATCTATCCATCATCCCTCTTTTTTATTCATTTCAAATAATTTTTGGAACAAAGAAAAACTCATAAACTGCATAGGGCTAAACCAAAGGCTGCGGTGTTGCTTTTCATTGCGTCGCACATCTGAACAGCATTAGCGCAGCTCATAGATCAAGGTCACATGACTCTTCTTAACAGCTTTAGTGTCATTGATCAATTAAGACAACAGAATCTGATTGGCCGTGAGTAGTCATTGAAAGCTGACAGCGGTACATTGACCCTCGGCACATTACACACACACACACTCCTCATATTCACACACAAAGGGTGATAAACCACGCTCGCTGACCACCACAGCGCACAAAAAAAAGTCAAATTATGTGAAATAATGAAAAGGCATCAATACGAATTCAGCGGAGACTCGTTTCATTCTGTTTTCGACAGCGCTTTTCAGCCTGTAATTTTCTGTAAATGTTAACATGGTCAGACCTGCCTATTGATTCTATTATTTTTGACCTTGCATTAGTGTCGGCTAATCTCGCATGCCATAAAATTTCATTTTGTTGTGGAAAAATAGTCGGCAGGCCCTCGGGGTGAGTTAGACACAGGCCGCGGCACCTTTGGGATTCATAAGTGCACACGCGGGTAAACAAACCACACCGCTAATGCTTCTTACACCACTGAGCAGCACTGCAGGTTACATTTCCTCCTTTTTTTCCCTTTTCAAAGTGACGGTGTGGTTGCGGGGTCTCATTCGAAAGATAAATGCAAGCCTCCTCCAAACTGATATTGTTTTTTTTTTCAGGAGCAAAAGGTGAGGAGAGCAGTTATTAAAGAGTCGGGTGTGATGCATATCCGTTTAGCGTGCCCTCCCGCTCTCTGAGGGCACCATGTTTTGCCTATTGCTTTCAAAGGGTAAATAAAGGATTTCCGTGCATGTTGGAAACAGCTTACATTGCAGGAGGCACACCAAAAGGCCATATGTATGTTCAGGGGATAATAAAAAAGCTGGGGTTGATGTCTTTTATGTGGCCCGCATTTATCTTTATGAGACGTTTTGAAAAATAAAGCTTTGTGGTATATGCTGTAGACGTGGAAAGCTTGTAAAAGTTTTGTTAGTGCTGTAGTTTGAGATTGCTATTTTACTGTCAGCTTTGATTTGATTTTTGTTGTTATTTTAATTGTAGTAATACCAGCTTCATTTTGTCTGAATTGTTAATCGCTAAAGCTCGAAAATTAGCATTGTTTTCTAAACGTGAATGTAATTTCTGTTTGATGGCTAATAAATATATATATATATGTATATATATAGTTTAAGCTACACTCTCAGAGAAAAATAGAACAATGTTGTTCCAAAGAAGGTACAAACCTTCTGTTTGATGGCTTATATATATATATATATATATATATATATATATATATATATATATATATATATATATATATATATATATATATATATATATATATATATATATTTATATATATATGTATATATATATATATATATATATATATATATATATATATATATATATATATATATATATATATAATTTTTTTAAGAGCAAAAGAGAAACAAAACAAAAAAAATTGTAGGTTGTAATTACTTTTTTGTAATATTTTGCTTGAATTGAATTGTATTATCTTTTTTATTTCTAAAGATGTTCAATGACTAAAATGATATTTTATTATATGTTTTTTATAAATCTGTTTTGTTTTAATGCACCAAAATATATTACCTGTATTTTCTGAGAAATTGATAAAAATGGGGTTTATTAATTTATGCGGAGCACTGCATGTATATGTACTGGCCACTGATACACAAGAAATTAACTTTTTCTGATTTTGTCTGAAGTGTAATAACATTCCCGCTTTGTAAAGCAACTTTGTATTGTATTGTTGTGAAAAGCTCTATATAATCAAAATTTAATGGAATTTGTAACTCACAGGACATCAAACGCCAAAAGAAAACCCTGAAAAAGACTCGCAAGTTTTTGGTCGACGGGGTGGAAGTCAGTGTCACCACATCCAAGATTGTCACAGACAATGACACCAAGAGTGAGGAACTGAGATTCCTGAGGTATC